ATATACAAAATATGCCTAAATGTGTCGAAAAGCGCTCCTGTATTGCTGTTACTATTACACACTTGAAAACATTCTTCCCCCGCCCTCGTAAATTCTGTGTGCCCCCACCCCTACTTTCAGGGGGATGCGTGCTTGAACATAAGACCTTCAGACCGGTAGGCTAGTATCTAGCCATTGGCGGTGCCCATTCTGTAAAACATTCTAAATAACACTTAGAGCAGAGGTTCTCAAATTGGGTGCGGCGAATTTGTTTACAGTTTGGCTGAGATAAGCGCAGACAGCAGTTTAAAAAGAAATACTATGAAGGAAATCAAGAAGAGTTCTGGATGCAGGTGTATTCAAAAGACAATGCTATTGGCAACGCTGAAGTATATTCTCAAACAGTTTTGCCACTTTGGATATTTTACATCCAGATTTAGATGTTTTCCCTTGCATTTAGATGGCTTTTTTGACGTTTAGATGGTAGATGTTTTTCTATATGTTTTTCATCTGGAGTAAATTTATCAAATCTAACCCAAGAAACAGGATAAAATTTGACCTCCTAAATGCTATCTTGGAAATAAATTTCGCCCTGATAAGAGTAGGAAAATGCTGTTCCAATTAGCTCCCTGATTGTGTATAAAAAAGAAATTGGAACAGCTAAAGCATACCAGAGTCATTTTGGATCTGAAGCTTCAACTTCATCATCCAAGCTAAGTTTATCTTGTGGATCTTGTAAGGCAGACTTCAGTAAAGATGAGGACATGATTCTATAGGGTAAATCATATCAATAGCTAAGTAATTCATGACTCTATCAGGATGTTTTTTCTAGTGTTTTCCGCGCAAATTTAGCTGTTTTTAGATATTTTTGACTCAGTTTTGGATATTTTTTGTCAAAGAAAAGTGGCAACATTGTTCTCAACGTACGCTTACATTAACAAAACAGATACAGTAGCAGTATTCAATTAATTTGAAAATTAAATTAACTTAATCTCCCATATACATAAAGAAAAAATAAACAATTCATTCAAACAGATTCATTCATCGCATTAAAGACTACTGAACATTAAATTTGCAGTTTTTTCTTCTTCTTCTTTTCCTCATTACTCAAACCACAGCTAGGTGTGCCGTGAAAATTGTTTTGTCCTGCAAGGGTGCCGCGGTGAAAAAGTTTGAGAAACACTGACTTAGAGAACACTTACTTTTCTCCCATCAGCTGACCCCATCTCCAGCCGAGTCTCAGGAACCGAATGCCTGTTTGCCAGCATCTGTGTGAAATAGATCAGCCGCTGTTCGAAGGCCTTCTCTGATGACACTTCTAAAAGCTCCTGCCTGATCACACGAACCATAAAACAAAGGATTAAGATATATCGCATATTAATTAGCAAAGGATTCTTTGTGTGTGTGTGTGTGTGTGTGTGTGTGTGTGTGTGTGTGTGTGTGTGTGTGTGTGTGTGTGTGTTTTAAACCAAGTTGCCCATTGGGCTTATTATTCTAGACTCATATTTGTACAGGCCAATCGGGCCACAAGATGGCTGATGTCAATGTTCGCTGGTCCCAGGACATTCGTTAGTTAGTTGCTTCTTCTTTACAAGACGTTGCAGAACCAACTCCAACATTTTAGGTTTTTCTAGGCAAATTTTAAGTTCAGTAGTTTGCCACTGCTACTGAACGGTCAGCTCTCGAGACCAAGGGTGAAACTGATGCAAGACAAATTGTCCGCAGCTGGTAACGAACTGGCACCCTGGCATTAAGACGCGCTTTCGCAACGCCTAAGCTATAGACACCTAGGACATTTCCATGTACTTTGTTTAGGCTGGGTCAACCTGAATGCCAATGTCAATTATGGAAAAAAAAAATGGTAAAACAAAAAAACAAACAAACACACAATTTTGCTTTAATGCGGACTTGAACTCAAAACCTTCTGGCCGACAGGCGAGTATCCCTCCTCCACCCCCATATTTTCTGTGTGTCATGGCCCATGACTTTCCTGTGTGTACTTTAGAGTTGCTATCTTGGCCACTTGATGAATTCTTCTTCTTTGATACTGGCGCAGTTACGTATGCGCGTGGATTTCCATGACAGAACAAAAGGGACAAACGTATATCATGGAGTCAGTAATCAATCACAGTGATTGTTACTAGGTATTGGAAGGGTTAAGGTGTTTCTCCAGTACAAGAGACAGCATCACCATCGGTCAGAATGGCTACCTCGTTAAGGAATGTCTGAAAGTGTATCTTTTTCTAGCTCTTCTTCAACCCTACCTTCTTTCAGTGTCAATACATTTTCAACGTCTCCATTTGCAAAATTTTTCAAGAAACGTAACCTCCCTATCACTCTCTCTAGGCCACTGTGCTACAAAGTGCATGTGCTGATCTTTCCAACAATGCGAAGCTCCTTCCCCCTTCGGCATTATAACCTGAAAGCTGGCAACTAGTGAATAAATAAGCTATATTTCGGATGAGAATCCAAGAGGGATAAATTAGGAACATCCCGTTAAACCGTTAAAAAAAAAGCTATATGTAGGCACCTAACGAGTGCAAAATAAACTACCATGCTATTTAGGTGAGCTAGTGTTGATATCACACAAAAAATGATACCCGGCCCCTTTGCTCCCACATAATACATTTGGCTACTTAGAGAGAATGCCCTGTGACACCATACAATACAATGCATGCTGGAAAATAGGGCAAAGACGTAGAGCATTAGGCAAATATAGAACAATGTGAAAGATAGCATCAGAGAAACGCTACAGCAGCACGATGCGTCTGTCTATGGCAGAGGCGGCGAGAAGAGCAAGAAGCGGAACCGAGTATCTCCCCTGACATCTGAAGCGGTAAAAAGGGGAAGGAAAGCAGAACAGGAAGAAGATAAATCGGTTCTTAATTTATAACGTACCCCAAACACGTAATCCTCGTGGGAAATCCACAGCTGACCTGACAGTCCATGATTTCAAGGAATGGAAGTGTGCTGTTGTGTGGTGCTTTTTTTTTTTTTGAGTGTTCATTTAGTGTCTTCTAATGCTAACCCTAACCCTAACCCTAACCCTAAGCCTAACCCTAACCCTAAACTTGGCTGTAGATAAATCGCGAGAAACTACAACCTGAACACCCTAGAATTTATTGGGAATGTCTCCCGTGACGTTGTCGAAACGTCAGGGGTAAGTTATAAATTAAGTACCGATAAATCACTCTATAGCAACATCAGATTTACATCGTTACTGGAATGTAACAGAAACCATTTATGTCAAACCTGCAGTCCATGTCACTAAAGATGGTTCCAAACGTTCTGGCAATCTCCACTTCGCTCTTGGTTTCTTTCTGTGAGAATGAATGAATGAATGAATGAATGAATGAATGAATGAATGAATGAATGAATGAATGAATGAATGAATGAATGAACTGGCATCACTGCACTCTGGACATTTCCTTAGGTGCTCCGTCCCCCTCTTCAGTAGCCAACAAAGACTTGACATGCTACTAGCATTTCTGTGAGAACACACCTATATCTCACCAGATGGAATCAGCACACACACGGTATATTTAATAGATACACTTGCATTTAATATATATAAGGAGCGTTCACCTGAAGTCCGTTCCAATGGCTTTATAACAAAACCATAAAAGAAACATCGTGTGTCACATAATATTTTTTAAACCATTCATTTTGAAATCGTACAATTATTGCATAAACACTTTTATTTCATAAAACATCGAATCCAACTTTTTCGTTTTCCAAATGTTGGTTCCAGTGTGTTCACGGAAAGAAGGGTGGAAAAAAGGGGGGGGGGGGGGGACCAACTGCCCCTTTACAAGCATTTCGTAAGAAGCGACTAGTTAGAGGTTTTTCTTTTGAAATCATGAAAATATCACACTTAAAGAAAAAAATAGTAAATACATTTTATAAATTGAAGAACATATTATACAGTAAATCCGTGTCATTGGATATAATAACAAATAATTATCGCGCGCAATATACAGCATTTTATTAAATGGCTGTGAATTTTTTGACAAATAATAAACAAGCCAAACAATTGCTTGAGGCCCCGGATGTATGGCTTTTAAAGGAAGAATCCTTAAAATTAAATGGACAGCCAAAAATAGCAATACAGATGTTTTGAAAGAGGAGGGTGTCCGAAGAGAACGTGTCACAAACATCAGAAAGAGATAATTATCATTTTTGGACATGTTATGAAAAGAATAAACCTGGAACATTTTGTGATCTCTGGAAAGATCTTTGGAAAAAGAGATAGAAATAGACATCGCAAAAAGATTCTTGACAGCCATGTTTCATTCCTAGATGGTTCATATCAGTTCATGAACTAATACATGCTGTTGAAAATCGCAGGTTGGGAAGAGGCATGGTCGCCCACGCTAGTCGGCAAGGCATAGGCATGTTTTTGTTTTTTGTTGTTGCTTTTGGGCACGTTATGACAAAAGGGAAAAACTAAAGTGCTCCGTAGAATCAAATGGGAAAGTTTGATACAAACAAAGACTGGCGAAGGCAAAAAATGTACATAGGAAAACAGCATATCACAGAGAAAACACGCGTATCAGAAATTATGACAAAAAGAAAGCCGCGGACACACTCAGTATTGAAAGCCACCTAAATTTAAAGACGTTTTTGACCCAAATTCAATAATATTTCGTAATGACAATTCATTTAGTCCAAGTCCAAGTCCTTTTGAGAGAAAAAAAAAAAACGTCGACCACTTTCAGACTGCTGCTAGCTAGCCGAGGCTGCTAACAGTCTCTGCCTATATTTGTGGTCTGGGTTATTTGCGTCACTTTCATGACTAAATTCTCGTGTTTGCGCCATTTTTGGGCTTGATGCTTCCATCACAATTCATTTATCGATCCATCCATTTATATAAAATAGAACACATACAAAAACACATTCATAAAACGCAGATACAGAAGGCCAAAATTGAAACGATTTCAAAAACTGAAACTGACCTCTTTATTTGGAACCAAAATTACTATAAGAAAATGGACTTCCTGGCAGTGGATTCCTAAGTTAGCCGGGTGTAGAAGTCTGGCAATGCAAACTCTCCGTGAAGTTAAACCAGGAATTGTACACCTAGAATAGATAACATGTCATTTTACAATTTCCTATTAGTTATAATTTCGTTATTATAAAGATTCAGTTCCAACTGCACTTTAAATTTAAAATAATATCGGATTAGGTTTAACAAATACAACACATATTTCAGGTGCAGTTTGACAGATACATTATTATTATACTTTATTAGGTTTAAAACGAAAAAACATAAATATTAAGTGCATGAACAAATACAATAAAATCCTACGAAGTGTATGCAACACAACATATATTTCAGCTGTGGTCTTCAGACAAAAAAATATTCCCTATGTTTACAATACTCTTGTCAACAACAACAACAATAACAACAACACGGCACAAATCCTATAATCCCCACATAACAGGAACCCTTACAACGTACAAACCTTACACTGAAGAAAATATTACATTACACAAATCCCCACATAACTCAAACCCTTACAACGTACAAACCTTACACTGAAGAAAATCTTACATTGCATAAATCCCCACATAACACGAACCCTTACAACGTACAAACCTTACACTGAAGAAAATCTTACATTGCACAAATCCCCACATAACTCAAACCCTTACAACGTACAAATCTTACACTGAAGAAAATCTTACATTGCATAAATCCCCACATAACACGAACCCTTACAACGTACAAACCTTACACTGAAGAAAATCTTACATTGCACAAATTCCACATAACGCAAACTCTTACAACGTACAAATCTTACACTTTAAAAAATCTGTCATTGCACAAATCTCCACAAGACACGTACCCTTACAACGTACGAATCTTACACTGAAGAATATCTTACATTGCACAAATCCCCACATAATACGAACCCTTACAACGTACAAATCTTACACTGAAGAAAATCTTACATTGCACATATCCCCACATAACACGAACCCTTACAACGTACAAATTTTACACTGAAGAAAATCTTACAGTGCACAAATCCCCACATAACACGAACCCTTACAACGTACAAATCTTACACTGAAGAAAATCTTACATTGCACAAATCCAGTTGTGATCGTAGTCAAAAGCCCCGTCTTCTGTGATACTTGTACCTTGCACCGTGTGGCTAAGTTGGTGAACTGAAGCACAGAGACAACAGTAAGCACAGTGAGTTGGTGAACTGAAGCACAGAGACAACAGCAAAGAAGTGAGTTGGTGAACTGAAGCACAGAGACAACAGTTAAGAAGTGAGTTGGTGAACTGAAGCACAGAGACAACAGTAAGCACAGTAAGTTGGTAAACTGAAGCACAGAGACAACAGTAAACACAACGAGTTGGTGAACTGAAGCACAGAGACAACAGTAAAGAATTGAGTTGGTGAACTGAAGCACAGAGACAACAGTAAAGAAGTGAGTTGGTGAACTGAAGCACAGAGACAACAGTAAAGAAGTGAGTTGGTGAACTGAAGCACAGAGACAACAGTAAACACAGTGAGTTGGTGAACTGAAGCACAGAGACAACAGTAAACACAGTGAGTTGGTGAACTAAAGCACAGAGACAACAGTAAACACAGTGAGTTGGTGAACTGAAGCACAGAGACAACAGTAAACACAACGAGTTGGTGAACTGAAGCACAGAGACAACAGTAAAGAAGTGAGTTGGTGAACTGAAGCACAGAGACAACAGTAAAGAAGTGAGTTGGTGAACTGAAGCACAGAGACAACAGTAAGCACAACAAGTAGGTAAACTGAAGCACAGAGACAACAGTAAACACAGTGAGTTGGTGAATTGAAGCACAGAGACAACAGTAAACACAGTGAGTTGGTGAATTGAAGCACAGAGACAACAGTAAACACAACAGGTAGGTAAACTGAAGCACAGAGACAACAGTAAACACAACGAGTTGTTGAACTGGAGCACAGAGACAACAGTAAATATAACAAGTAGGTAAACTTAAGCACAGAGACAACAGTAAACACAGTGAGTTGGTGAACTGAAGCACAGAGACAACAGTAAACACAACAAGTAGGTGAACTGAAGCACAGAGACAACAGTAAACACAACAAGTAGGTGAACTGAAGCACATAGACAACAGTAACCACAACAAGTAGGTGAACTCAAGCACAGAGACAACAGTAAACACAACAAGTAGGTGAACTGAAGCACAGAGACAACAGTAAACACAACAAGTAGGTGAACTGAAGCACAGAGACAACAGTAAACACAACAAGTAAGTGAACTGAAGCACAGAGACAACATTAAACACAACAAGTAGGTGAACTGAAGCACAGAGACAACAGTAAACACAACAAGTAGGTGAACTGAAGCACAGAGACAACATTAAACACAACAAGTAGGTGAACTGAAGCACAGAGACAACAGTAAACACAACAAGTAGGTGAACTGAAGCACAGAGACAACATTAAACACAACAAGTAGGTGAACTGAAGCACAGAGACAACAGTAAACACAACAAGTAGGTGAACTGAAGCACAGAGACAACAGTAAACACAACAAGTAGGTGAACTGAAGCACAGAGACAACAGTAAACACAACAAGTAGGTGAACTGAAGCACAGAGACAACAGTAAACACAACAAGTAGGTGAACTGAAGCACAGAGACAACAGTAAACACAACAAGTAGGTGAACTGAAGCACAGAGACAACAGTAAACACAACAAGTAGGTGAACTGAAGCACAGAGACAACAGTAAACACAACAAGTAGGTGAACTGAAGCACAGAGACAACAGTAAACACAACGAGTTTGTGAACTGAAGCACAGAGACAACAGTAAACACAACGAGTTTGTGAACTGAAGCACAGAGACAACAGTAAACACAAGTTTGTGAACTGAAGCACAGAGACAACAGTAAACACAACAAGTTGGTGAACTGAAGCACAGAGACAACAGTAAACACAGTGAGTTTGTGAACGGAAGCACAGAGACAACAGTAAACACAGTGAGTTTGTGAACTGAAGCACAGAGACAATAGTAAACACAGTGAGTTTGTGAACTGAAGCACAGAGACAATAGTAAACACAGTGAGTACATTCACACACCAGTGAAGCAGCCCTTTAAATGGCACCTTCTGCCGAGGTCAGTCAAGTAATGTAAATAAAGAACCTTTTTCACCACTGACATATATTTAAAATCCACATCTGTACAGACCCATCAGTATTCGGCCGAGATATGGGGAACATCACTCAGATGATCTAGAATGCCATGCCAATTTTAAAAAAATCCACCTTGGTGTGGGTTCGAACTCTCAAGACATTTCACACCAAGAGGCTACCGCCCTATTGTGGCTCCCTTGATGGCAGCTTCCCGTCTTTCCAGGCGTCAGCTTTCCATTGTGTCAGATACAGGCATGAGAACCACTGTCCATGTCGATGGCTAGTGGTAATACCAAGGACCTTCCACTATAAGTGCATGAGATGCCAAGACCCTTGTTGCCATCATGTCTGTGTAACTTGATTCGTCTCGGGCTCGGGTCTTAACATGTCGGAAATGCAATCCTTTTCTATTTTTTCCGTGTTTCACACTAACCCCCCCCCCCCCTTTCCCCCCACTCCATGTAATGCCATCCATGACATCCTGTTACTACGAATCTAATTTAATACTTGTAACGTTCAAGTCCCGCTTGCACCTATCTTTGATTCGACCCTGACATCTTCTTCAAATCTGTAATACGTCATAGAAAAATGGTCCAAGTCAGCTGTTCTCAACCTGTGGATCGAGACCCTTTTTTTGGGGTCGAACGACCCTTTCACAGAGCTCGCGAAAGGCCATCGCAAAACACGTATTCATTGAAGTTATAAAGCAGCAGCGAAAATAACTGTATGTTTGGGGGGTCGTCACAACATAAGAAACTTCTGAAAGGGTCGTGGCATTAGGACGGTTGAGAGCCACTGATGTAAGTGGTTTTAATTAGCTCCATCTTCAGTGTGTGTTCTAGCCATCTGAACTTTCAGAGAGTGAACACTGAACAAAAATAGTGAATATTGCTCTTTCTAATTTTTCATTTTTTTTATAATTTTGTCTTGTCATTTGATGCCAAGTATTCTTTGTGGACACATCACCCACCGAGTGCCCACTCGTCTACAAAATATAGGTTTAGCCATATATGTAGTATATAGATCATGAATGATGCTCCCATATCAGTGCACTATCTCTGTAGTGTAGATCATCAATGATGCTCCCATATCAGTGCAATATCTCTATAGTATAGATCAGCAATGATGCTTCCATATCAGTGCACTATCTCTGTAGTATAGATCATTAATGATGCTCCCATATCAGTGCACTATCTCTGTAGTATAGATCAGCCATGATGCACCCATATCAGTGCACCATCTCTGTACTATAGATCAGCAATGATGCTCCCATATCAGTGCACTATCTCTGTAGTATAGATCATCAATGATGCTCTCATATCAGGGCACTATCTCTGTAGTATAGATCAGCCATGATGCTCCCATATCAGTGCACCAACTCTGTAGTATAGATCATCAATTATGCTCTCATATCGGTACACTATCTCTGTAGTCGATATCATCAATGATGCTCTCATATCAGTGCACTATCTCTGTAGTATAGATCAGCCATGATGCTCCCATATCAGTGCACCAACTCTGTACTATAGATCAGCAATTATGCTCTCATATCGGTACACTATCTCTGTAGTAGATATCATCAATGATGCTCTCATATCAGTGCACTATCTCTGTAGTATAGATCAGCAATGATGCTCCCATATCAGTGCACCAACTCTGCAGGATACACAAAAATGGGGCTCTCTTGTCAGTGCACAAACTCTGTATTGGTGTGAAATGGTGTAGAGGTGTTCATAAACTCTGACAATAGAAATGATACCTAAATCATGAGTGAAGAGGGCAGATCTGGCTAGGTCGTAAATGTCTTTATTCCTGACATCTTCCAGCGCCCTCAGAAGGCAAGCGTCCACGATGTCTTCCACGCTGGGTTTATCCACATCCAAGAGAAGCGCCATGTTCTTCAAGTAGCTGTACACATCCATCAAAGCTCTGGCCTCACTGTGGAAGTCTTTCAGGGCAACTGCCTGTACAGGAGAATCAAGAAACCATTGCTACAATACTGCACAGTAACCACACCTTGAAATCCTTTACTTAGGTAATTTTATCTCTTTCATTACTAGCAGAAAATTTGTTTCATTTCTTCACCCCTATATTTAATACTTGGGTTTAAAGGACTTAACTTGTTGAAGCCAGAGGACAGTTATATTTGTGATAAAACTTTTCTTTCTTCTTCTTTGCTGTCAGCGGCTGTAAACTCTGACGAAAAGATCTGGTTGTTCGTCCATCTCAAGTCTTCAGTTTTGTCCCAGAACCTGAGTGTTGCGTGCATATTCGTTTTACCGATCTGGCTAATTTTTATGCAGACTGTTGATTGCTTGCCTCTCATGGTAGATGCACTTCGACTTCTAAGGAAACCTCCAGTTTGTTTGTTCTCACGATATACTTTTTGAGGAAGCTTCGGATCTATTCTTGCTTTCCCCACAATGCGGCTCCTAAAGCAACATATAAAGTTAATAATCAGCAGGTGGTACCCATAGAGCTCACACAGTTGGAGAGAATGTGGGGAACTAACACGCGAACATACTGGGTTAACTACTTAACGTAACAAATATCTCCAATCGAAGAACACCGAAAGGGTACACTTTTTCGAGGGTAATAAAATAACGTGTGGCGATTTGCTTGGTAGAGAAGGCGTTAAACAACATGAGCATAAAGGCATACGTATTGATTAGCACTCACTGAAGAACGTAGGCAGAATTTCTGAGATATTAAAAAAAGGGGGGGGGGGTGATAAGGCAATGATGTAATTAGTTATGTCACGTGCACATTGAATTAGGACTTTTTTTGTTCAAAAATGACCTTGGCGCCCATATCGACCCAGCCTTAAATGGATACCAGGCAAAATCCTGACCAGTGAAGGTGGCCAGCTTGATGTTTACCACATAATCCACAGAGTGCCGATTGGTCTATAAAAAATAGGTCAAGCTCTGTATGCCTAGTTGGCCTGAGGGCGTGGAAAAGAGTCCTATTCTTTAAGTCCACATTATCTCAGTTACAGATGAGTTGACAGACTGACTGACTTTCTACCCCACTAGGACATCACAAAAAGCGATAAACACCCAATGACACAAAGGGCCACCACATGGATGAGGATCGCCGTGGAGAGGTCCCAGACAACGCGTTCAGACAACTGGCCATAATTATGGCCTGCCTATATTGCGGCTCCTGGCAAAAGCCAGGGTGGGGCTTCAAAAAACAAAAAATGTCATCTTAAAAAGGACGAAACTGGATTACAGATGAGTTACTGGTAGAGCGTAGAAGTACGTTTAGTTCTTCAGACCACTACACATTGCTGCAAGTTACACAGGGCTGGTCTAGCTGTCATGGATGACCTAATATTATCTTCCCTAGAGGTTGAACATCGTATCTGTGATCTGCCCTGGGGGTGTGCCGTCCAGACTTTAATCTCAGGGTGGTCAACCGTCAGGTAGCTGCCCAGAGGCGACAAACCGATCGAAGACCACTTTACAACATTATGGAACTCACGCAAAAGATGCTCCGGCGCTGCCAACACAACCACTCAAAAGAATGTTAAATTCTAGTTTGCTCATAAATTCGCATAGAACACCATATTTGCGGGATCTACTGGCAGCTGCTCAACTCGGCCATTCGTTAAGACCGGGTCTACGTGGCGAAGTGGACAAGCCATTAGCCTCGCGCTCTGAAGGTCATGGGTTCGTTTCACAAGTACAGTTTTACGGAGATCCATGAGGATCGTCACCGGAACTATGTAGTTCGTGTTGTGTGCGATGCTCTCTTCAGGCGGCTAGTCGTTCGATAGAGACCAAGCCATATGGGATTTTTGAAAAAAACTAGTGCAACGAAGTTCATCCTTTGGACTTTAACCTTTAACTTTGACTTTTTTATTTTTTTAAGACGTCCCTGCTTCAGACAGGCACGTGCAGATTATGTGCTACTAAAAATTCTGTCTCGCAGTTTGTAGGGGTCTGTTGTGAAGTGATCCCATTATTTGGTGTTTCGTATATTGATCGCGGTTAAATCCTGGTGCAGTGAGATAGGCAGTATCACCTTCAAACCGTTTACGGAGAGAACTATCGTTTTACGACCATCTGCAGCGATTGTCAACTTGTTACCTAGAGGACTATTCATTCTCTTTACTCTCGCCCACCTGGGGATCGGAAGGTCGTGGGTTCGCGTCCTGACGAAGCCTGAATTTTCTTTCAAAAATGACCTCGACCCAGCCCTTAGTGAGTATCAGGTGCAGTCCTGTGGAGTAAATGCGACAGGTGTGATGCCGTCAACATCACACATCAAGTGACGATTGCTCTACAAATACAAATATAGGTGTAACTCTGTATTCCCAATACACGCAAGGGCGTGGAAAAGGAACCTTCTCTTTTATTCTCTCTA